TTCTGTGAGCCTCATTTTTTTCATCTGTAAAATCAGAATGATGACAACATTTACCTTTTCAAGTTATCATGAGGAATACTGAGATGGCATCTCTACAGACCCTGCCATTTGCTATGCATTCAATAAATGTAACTAATTGTTATTGTCAGTGGCAGTTTCTACCCCCTCTTATTAGTGTGCAAGAGTTACTAGAACATGAAGGGCAACTTAATTTTTCCTCCATTTTCTGATACCATTTTACTTAGAGCTTATCTTTTTGCTTTTCCCCAATAAATTAGCAAGTGGATATAACTTTATACCATAGATTATTTCAATAAAAATTGAGATTCTTTATTCCTGTGCAAAAAAAAAAAAAAGAAAAAAAGAAAAAAAAACCCACAACATTGTGCTTGAAAGGTTACAGAAGGGTTAAATTCCCAAATAACAAATTATTTTACATTCCTCAGGATAATCCTTATCTTGGTTGTTTTATTCACTAATACCTGAGTTAGCACTGATTTGTTTTTATGCTGAGGTTAAATGACATGGTTGCTGAAACTTCTGCCTACAGTGTTCACTTATATGGGTCAATTTATATTATTCTTATGTTCTCGATACATTATAACTTAAATTTTTACTACTTCTTAAAGAGTCATTATTGGCATAGGATTTGTATATTTAGGCACTCCTATTGACTTGAATTTTATACACACGAGGGAAGAAATAGAACAGATTGTGCCCATATCCTTAGAGCATTCTTTTTCTTTTCCTCCCATTTGATTTATATGTTTTATCAGGGTTCTTTCCAAATGGCATAATGTTGTTACTCCCTCCTGTTGATTTTAATCACTTTGATGTATTTTAAGTGAACTAAACTTCTGGAGTTTGCCACTCATAGTAGTATGACTATGAACTAAACTTTCTAGTACCTAAAGTATTTCTAGTATTCTCTAGTATTCTAGTATTCTAGTATTTCTCTAGTATTTCTAGTACCTAAAAAACCCTCGAAAACCAGAGCATATTTGTTGAAAGACTGAGATACTCTGTCTGACTTTAAAGTTATTAAAGACATTTTATGTTCAGCATTGTTTCAGAGTTAAGTAAATTTTACGGTGTTCTAATTCTTACAAAAAGAAAAGAAATTAGTAATAAGATTTTACTGCTTGGACGCTGAAGTGACACATGAAATTTTCTATGGGTAAGGACAAAAGCAACCGCAGTTAATGCAGGAATGTGAGTTTTATATATGTGATTCAAACAGTATGGTATCCAAATTTGAATAACAGAAAACAGGAAATTCCTGAAAAAAAAAAACATAAAGGTAACAGAATGCAGTATCTGGTTATATTTCAGTATGCCAAGTAAGCAAATGTTCGATCTTTCTGTCTTTTATGTGCCCATATCTAAAATTGGTATTTCGCAGCACTATATTCTAGTATCTAGAATTAATCCAAATATGAAACTAGACTAAATTATTTTTAGTGTTAAAGACAATCAGATCAGGTTTAGAAATTTTACATGTGTGAGGCACAGAGTCATACCGCCAGATAAAGAGATTCTTGTGCGTTACCCAAGACTACATTTACCAGTAGCAGGGAAAGTTAAACCGAGCAGGCTAGTGTTACTTGAGGAGACCAGAGTACAAGTGGTTAGGAATGAAAAGATCATCATAGAATGTTAATGCTGAGAGAGACCTCGAAGGTTTCCATTCTTTTTAACATCATCATTTTCGTAAAATTAAAGATAAAGCACTTGGTTCAAAACACACACTTACAAACTAAGAGAGTGAAGGATCAGACGGAGATAGAATTTGGAATTCACACAGAAACAGAGGAGCCAGGATGTAGGAAGTACGGGAGAGAAGACACAGAAGTCTGTGCTAAGATTCGTCGGCCGAAGGTCTGAAAGGTATCACCGATAATAATATCTGTACCATTCTTTCTCCCCGGAAAATGAGAAAAGTGCTAGCTTGCTTCTCAATGGTACGTGACCCTGTGCCAGGAAGGAATCCTGAAGCTGTCTCTGATGTATCTTAGTGCCCTCATTATCCAAAGATCAACAAATTGGCCCCGTGTTTGACTGAATAATTGTAACATTACTTTTTGGAGAAGTGGGGGGAAAAAAAAAAACCTCTCCTCTTACTAATTCCTTAATTCAGAATAATTTCATTGCACTATTGGAAATCACATCTAAACAGAATCAACCTGTCACTAAATGCATGGCTGAGAACAGATCCTTTCCTATTTACAGACAGCAGAAGTGCCCGGGCTTTGCAAGGTAGTAGAGAAGGAAGTGAAGTGGGTAAGAGAAAAGAAAAAAAAAAAGTGCAGAAAAATAGTCCAGAAGCACTGAAATAAAGTATGCTTTTGCATAGTTTTGACAGTCTTTCTCTTGAATCATATACAGACAAGTGGAGGTTAGTGCAGAGAGATTTTCTCAGGAACAGAGCAGGCACAACACTTCATGTAAACACTCCTTTGGATTTAACAAAGTCCACCAATTGACGAAAAAATTATTTTGCTTGTCCTTTCATACGAGTGACTTTCTTTCAAAAAAATACCTTTGTTCTCAGAAGATGCATGGCCTGAGATACGGTGCATTCAGAAAACTTTTAAGGAAAACTTTGGTCCTATGAGAGCCAGATATTCTTAATGCTTTAGCACCAAGAAGAACTTAAGTTTCTGCTAAGAATCAGAAGAAGCTTGTAACCATGAGCCATGTAGAACAGGGGTGAAATTGCCAACTTTTTGGCAGCATCTCAACTTCTGGTGGTATAGGGAAATCTGCTTTTCAGTCCCTGTAGAACGAGATTCGCTTGAGTGCTTTCTGGCGTGCTAGGGCTTCCCCTTTGTGTATAGTATGCATGATTTAAAAGAAGCAGTGTCAGCACTGATTTATACATTGACAGCTAAGGATAATAAGATATGGGCAAACGTACAGCTCACCCTTTTACAGATTAACCTGGAGACTGCATTAGGCAAATTTGATAGCATTAAAAGATTTTGCCAATTTGTCTGGAAACAATTTCTCTTTTGTAGTGTGTCAAGGGTAACACTTCATGCCATTGTACTAATTTAAATGGCTTTGATAAATTGTTCAAGAGGTTAGAGAATAGTAGTGTAGATATATATTTAGCACTTTAAAATAAAAAGGCTGTTAACTTAATTGTTAAATGAATTTAATCTGTAAAAATCAAAAGTGCCCAAGAATGGAAGTGTTTTCTTGGAACCACAGCATCCATATTACATCATGAAGCTTTAAAAGTCTTCTTAGAAAATAAAATTATACTTCTGCATTACTTCCTAATAACTAGAAATGCTTTAAGCTATTACAGTAGCATGGATGGTACCTATTATTTGGGGAAAGCCTTAGTTTATAAAAGCAATAAAAGCATATCTTCTCCAGAGTTGTTTTTTTTTTTTTTTATGTTGCATGTCCTAGATTGTACCATTTGCATGACATCAAGGTAGTCTTATGTCCCCTAGAGACCTTCTTAAAAATGAGATGTATATTTCATGAGACATTCTCTATGTACATAATTTCTAAAGTAAGGAATTTGAAGAGGCCCCTCTGAAAGTCACTGGATTAAATCATTGCACCTTTATTCAGTATCCTTCTGAGAGAAACAGCTATTTTATAGGAATGTTTAAACAATTCTTTTTAAGAACACACCTCAAATGTAAATTAGCCCTTTTGGTGTATTTCGCACTTGAAACAAGGGCAAGATTCATTTGTATGAAGATCATAGTCTTACCCTTGTACCTTTGCATTCCCTCCCAATTCATGAAGAACTGACAACTCACCTGACTAGTTCATCAAACATTTTGTTTCTGTCTCAAGTGAACCATTAAAATGCTCTTTCTTTACTGGAATAAGAATATCGCTAAGCAGCAAGCTACTAGTTTAAATAACAGCTGCTTATTTAAAAAAAATTAAAACAATGTAAAGATAGGACAGATAGGATTTCATACTTATTAGCTGTTTATTTCAAACAAATTCCTCGGCATGGATAAAGGAAATTTTAGTTCCAGAAACAACTAGCAGGAAAAGCCAACTTAACCAAATTTGGAGCAACTTTGTTTTTGTTTGTTTGCTTGTTAGTTTTCATCTTTAAATTTTAACAAATAAGTGCTCAAACTACAAGAGAACATCCATTTGTTTGCATTTTGTATTATTTAGAAGGAACTGAGAAAGCTTTTAAACTTTTTGCCAAAGGTATATGTAGTGTTTTAATGATGTTGCTGCAGTATGTGTTTGGGGCTAAAATTAGCATCTTTGAGGAAAGTAAAAAAAAAATCGATTTTTAATACTTTAAAAACTTCTGGAAATTTGGGAAGTTTCTTAATTGAAAAGTATGTCATATTTACAGTGCAGAGAATTCGCATGTAACGAACAATTGCAAATCATGGGAATGGTGAATATTCACGTAGAACAAGACTGGCTTTCTAAAGTGTATTCCTGGTTGAGAATAGCAGGGAGGTGTGTGGGACCTCATTTCTCTCTCTTGACTGGGAGTTCTCGAAGGAAAACTGCTTTTAAAAGAAGGAAACCTAAAAGTAGTCTTGCTCTTTCTTGCCAAGGATAGTGAAATTAACATGCAGCTGGGCTTCTCTGATAAATGGATTCTGTTAGGTCACTGAGGGGGTGCATGTGACATTAAGTGATTTACAGTCCTTTACCTTAATGAAATTGTTTCAGCAAGATGACGCTGAAAGCTCTTAATGGATAGCTTTTCTTGATGTAATGAAATTGCATTCCTATGGCATTTAATATAAGGTGCAGTTATTATTTACTGGAGCTTTCCAAGGGCTGCTATTTGCACAGACAGTTCAGAACAAAAAGAGATTTCAGTAGCGGCACTGAGGCCAGAATGGCTTGTGACATTCTTAAGCGGATGAGTGTATTTCTGAGAGCATTTCAGTTAGTGCAGTCAGAGCTTCGGAGACCCTTCAGGAGACTTCTTTTCACCCAGCGCTGCTAGTCTCCAGCCTTTTACTTATATTCTTCTAATCTATTTACAGGCAACTGGATTACAACCAGATCAGCTGTATTGAAGATGGAGCATTTAGGGCTCTCCGGGACCTTGAAGTGCTGTAAGTATTGCTTGTTTCTCTTACTCTTTTGAACGGGGGCTTTGTGTCTGGGGAGTGCTAATGTGGAAGCTTATCTGCTCGCTCGAAACCTAGCGTCAAAATGGTCTCTTATAAAGATACCTTAAATAACTCATGGGGAATATATGAGTTGAAATGTGTGTGTGCACAGCCGTGGGTATCATTTCTGCATATTTAGGCGAAAATGTCTATTTAAGGAGGACATTCAAATGTTCACAATACCATCTTTCAAGTGTTTCTCCTTGTAACAAAATATTCTCATTCAAAGGACTGGTGAGGCTCCCTAGAATTGCCAAATATTAGGATAAAAGCAGTTGTATAAGAAAAATTACAATAAAAAATGAACTTCTTAGTTTCTGATGAGTTGGGTTATTATATAGTTGCCATGCAATGGAAAGATTTTGTCTCATTTTAAAATGCCATTTTTAACCAGATAGCATCATTTTTGAAAGGTGATTCTAGAAATCTGCTTTTCTGATTCTAATAGGTTGCCCATTGGGTCCATTTTAAAGTCTTCATACTGACTTAGGAAAGCAGAGCACACAGACTTGAATTATAACTGGCATCCTCTCTCTTTCCTTACTGGGTAGACATGGCTGACAAAATGGGCTAGAGGCAACCCAGTAGTCTCTACAGACCTTTGACTTGGTACAATAATTTTAATGGAATTATTATGATGAGAAATTATTTTAATGTAAACTAGAGTTACTCAAGCCATTGAAGCTGCCTGTACATTTCTGGAATTTTTTTTTTCCAGCCAGAGACTCACAAGTCTAGCTTTTTGAATATATTTACACATTTCTCCCCCCATATAAAATATTTTTCTGTGCTACAGTTCATCCCTGGCTAAATTTATTCAGAAATTCAAAAATTGACTTAAATGTTGAAGAGGTTTGGCAATTTTAGTCCATGTGGTAAAAGTTATCTGGGACTCGTGATATCCTTCTGGAAAAAAAAAAAAAAAAAAAAAAAAAAAAAAAAAAAAAAAAGATCCCATTACTTTATAAATTGAGTTTGAGGAACAGAATGGAATTCAGGAAAGAAAGTTTGAGGTCTCAACAAAATAGCTTATTTAATCAATATTTTATATATGATTTTGATTTTAATTGCAAGTAGATGTATGGAACTTGTAGCTGTGTCATGTGCAAAGTTACTGGTTATTTTTAAGGACTTAATGTAAGAGTTAGTCGATTGAGATAAATCGTGTTGTAAGATATATACTGTTGTCTACCCACATCATGAGAAGTTAACCTTTCTTTCTGTTGGTAACAGCCTAATTTTTTCTATAGGAAACCTATTCAGAGTGCTTATCATACACATTGTATTTAATAACGCCACTAGTTGTGTTTCAGACCCATTAATATACAAAGCTCACTGTTGCTATTTCAGAGTCAGAATAGTTAGGATACAACTATGATTTCGTGATAGCAGTCTGATGTCAAAACCACAGTCAGTGTCATAAACTTGGTATATGAAGAGACAACCCTGAGTGTTACTTAATTGAATGGAGCTGATCAGGCCAAGAATGTGTTACTAAGTAGGTACTTCTAACTAGGAATAGGAATGACACCAAACATTTTATGGAAAATTTGCTGAATATTGTGGATGGACTAAAATCCCATAAAGTACTTTGTTATTCATTAAAAGAGCTTAAATAATTCACGTATAACACACACACACACACACACACACACACACACACACACATACGCACACACAGGCACACAATACCTACTCTATGCCAAGCACTGTGCTAGGCATTGAAAACTCTATCCACAAATACAGTAACTATTCATTTGCTTATTTGTTATAAAGTAAACAGTGTTTTTAGAAGAGTAAGTTTGTGATGATACAATCACCTCCTGCGTTGTATTTGTCATATTAGCAAAATATCTAGAAGGTAACTTTACCAAGACCCTCTGTCTTGAAACACAACAAAGAGTAAAAAATGTTCTATGGTTCATGGAGTAAAAATCAAAATCCAAAGTGTTAGGAACTCTTTTGGGGTCCTTAATATATAGGTTTCAAAGAGATCTATAATGGTCAGAGTGTGTTTGCTAAAAAAAAGAAAAAAATAACATTAGTACATGATACAAGAAAGTGTGAATTCTTTCAAAACAATTTAAATATTTTATATTCAAATTTGACAAAGTCAAGCAGACATTCTTTTAATATGTGTTCATTTTTAAATCTTCGTAATTCATAGAATCTTTGGAGAAATTATTCTTTGAAAAAATTTAAGGGTAATTGGATGAAATACCAAAGACTGGGATTTATCAAGCCCAAATCTCTTGTCATGTAAATGAAAAGTTATTCTATTAGAAACATTTCCAGAAAGAAAGTTGTCTGTTTTTCTTATTTTTAGCGTCTATGACCCGTTACAATATATCTTCTTCTTATGTGGAGATAATGAAGAATTAATTAATTTGCAAATCACCTTAAATTTCAGACTCCCAATGTTTTAGATCTTTTTAAAACTTTTAATTCCATGAGCCATTTCTCAATGTATGATTATACTGAGGCAAAACAAGGGGATGGAAGTAATCATACTGGACCATTGACAAAAATTTGTTAAATTAAGATATAAATTAGGGTAAAGAGAGTGAATAAAGTTTGAGAAGGAAAAGTCCAGGTAAACGAAAGCAAGGGGAGTCAGTCTATCACTTGTATGTTCATGGCAACCTGGCAAATTGTGGAATTCTGATTGGTATGATTCAGAAATGTCTCTGTTTTTAATATGAAGATACCATCTCAAAAATAACATTGGAAACTAAATCTAGATCAATGTTTTCTGTTTCTTTGGACAACATCTAGTTTTGTATTGTTTGTTTTATTTCTTTTCCATAAAATAGGCATCATTTAATTGAATCGAGACATAGTGATTCATATCCATTAAATATCAGACTCCGCCAAATCCTATGCTGAGCACTAAGGGAATAAGAAAGAATAAATCAAGATCTAAGTCTGAGAGTAACTATATGATTACCAAAACTAAAATTTCGTATTTGTACATCAAAATGTACTTTTGTACAAGAATATATTCTTGCTGCAAAAAGAAAATATTGAGGTTGAACATAGAAATATAGTTTCGTTTAGAAGAAAGTGTTCACAAATAAAGAAGTACAATAGATACATTTGCATTGTTTCAGAATAGGAATTAGTCACGACCATAACATACATGTCATCAGATGTAATTAGCAAATATTTATTATTAATTTTAAAATAATTTAATTTCATTGGTTCCACATATCGTTCCACTATCAGGTATCAATGTCAATATCACTTTGCCACATCAATACTGAATAAAACCACTAAGATAATCTATTTCTTCAGCTGCATTTTGCAAAGTGACATTTTTAATTTTTTTTTTTAACGTTTATTTATTTTTGGGACAGAGAGAGACGGAGCATGAACGGGGGAGGGGCAGAGAGAGAGGGAGACACAGAATCGGAAACAGGCTCCAGGCTCCGAGCCATCAGCCCAGAGCCCGACGCGGGGCTCGAACTCACGGACCGCGAGATCGTGACCTGGCTGAAGTCGGACGCTTAACCGACTGCGCCACCCAGGCGCCCCGCAAAGTGACATTTTGAGAAAAGACTCCAGACTGATAGCCACCAGCTTCAGCATTCAATGAAAACACTCTTTGGTGTGGAATCATAAGAAATTAGAGTTCAAAATTAATGCATGCCTACTGCATGTGATGAATTACTTTAAAAAATGTTATCCCTAAAGTCACATTTCAGTATGTTATGTACTCTGAAGATTTTAGCCATATAAAGTCAGCATAAATTTTGAAGGTGGGAAAAGGGGTCATTTGAAAGTAAATCCCTTTGAGAAGTGAAACCTTTTAGTTCAAACATCAGGATATATTTTAATGGCGTTTGAAAAAAAAAAAATCTCATTTCACTTGAGCACAGAAAAATGCTACAGGCTTTTAGATAACGTGAACCAACCAATTCAGTGCTTTATAGGTCCTTCATAAAGTGGGATTTTTTTTTCGCCTGTGCAACTTACTTCAATCAGTTGCATTAGTTTTTATATCATTCAATACATTGCAAAACTGGGTAAGAAAAGAAAGTGTGTCTTCTAGATCGGTAGCCTCTGTGCCCCACTTTACTGAGAAGTTCACGTGAATCCCTGAACCCCTGAACACCCCAAATCATACCATTCACAACTGCAGCCTCCAGCTGGCCAAAAGTGGCCTCATAAATGTATCCTGCTTTCGTCCAAACAGATGTAGCCCACAGACTCTTTGAAATGTCCGAATTAGTTGCCAGTATTTAAAAATTAGGAGGACAGATCTGAAATTTTCTGTTTCCAGCGTCTCCTGAGAACATCAGATCGGTTGGCAGCCTTCCATTAGCACGGAGCAGTGGTCCATCGGAGCTGAGGACTAGCTGCTATGACAGAGAGTGTCCTCGCTCGCTTACCAGGGTCTCCAGTGGCCCCAGCCCTCTGCCTGCTCCACTCCATCTCTCGTCCCTGTTGCGTTTCTTAACACGCATCCTGCTTCTCTCATTTACTTCCCTGCCCAGCCTCCATTGGCAAGAGGATTTGCATAGTCTAATTCAAACCTTTCTCCATTATCAAATTGCATCTGTGGGCCATGGAACCTGTCATCCTGACTCCCTCAGGAACTTGCCCGCTTTGCTCACCACATCATAGTGTCTTCTCCATACTAGAATCATTGTCCATATTCGCATTGCACAAACACAGCCCTGGGATAGCCTCCTTCTCACTTTCTTGTCATAACCAGGCTTCCCCAAAGGGAGAAAAACAATCTCTTCTTCATGTTATTAACTATAAGTTTTTATAATTTGTACTCCATCTTCCCACTTGGACAATATGCTATTTTAGGACAGGTTTTATGCCTGATTTATTTTATACTGTTCCATGTTGCCATAAAATGAAGAGCCATCTAGGAAATATTAGATGAATGAATGGGTAGTAGTTGTAGTGGTAGTAGAAAAGCCATAATACTACAACAATGCCTGTGTTAGGGGAAAAGTAGTAACAATTTGAACCAAGCAAGAGTTATGCTTATTTTCACCGTCTCTCCCTTGGTCGCCCATCTTCCTGACTCCAGCATCCAGAAACCGTGATCTGTACCGCATGGAAGTTTGCAAGGGACAGGATATGTGCCTAGACTTAGAAGCATTAGAATGTACAGGGTGCCCGGGTGGTTCAGTCGGTTAAGCATCTGACTTCGGGTCAAGTCGTTATCTCACAGTCCGTGAGTTTGAGCCCTGCATTGGGCTCTGTGCTGACAGCTCAGAGCCTGGAGCCTGCTTCGGATTCTGTGTCTCCCTCTCTCTCTGCCCCTCTCCTACTCGTGCTCTCTCTGTCTCTCAAAAATAAACAATAAAAAATTTTAAGTAAAGAAGTATTAGAGTGTATTAAGCTTTTAATAAACTGCCCCAGCCTGACACTTTATCCCTACCCAATGCAAGTACCAAATGTAGATATCATTCTCACTACTCAGATTTCAACAATGGCTGATGTCCACAATAGAGAATAATTAGCAGGACTGTGTTCCGGGATCTGACAAAACCAATTCTGTGCTATTGCTATGAAATTTAATTTGGAAATTTCAAATATGTTCATTTACTCATGACACTAATTATACATAGTGCCCCTCTAAGGAAGTGTAACTGCCCAATTTTACTAATTGTTGACTGCCTCATGTTATTCCTTAACCAGTGCCATAAATACACACACATGCATACCCATGGTGCATAAAGCAATATGTGAATAGTCAAAGATATTATGGCTAAAGACATAAATCTGTAATAAATATTTAATAAAGCTGAATGCATAGTAAAGTGTTAAAGTATGGCATTTATTTATCCTCTTGTTTATAACCTGGGGCATTCTTTATGCCGTCTCTACCAGATAGTTGCCCTGCATAAACATAGTTGCAAGAAGCATTCTCTGTATTATCATATAGAATGATCAGTAAATTTTAATTACCTAAAATTTCTAACTTTTCTTGTTTTATTCTACAGCACTCTCAACAATAACAACATTACTAGACTTTCTGTGGCAAGTTTCAACCATATGCCTAAACTTAGGACTTTGTAAGTAGCCGCAATGTATATATGTCAATGTCATCAATTAAGGGTTCCCCTTAAGTACCATTTTTAGTAAACAAAAAACAGTACCACAAGTTCATAATGGGGTAGACCAGGAAAACACCACTTTTTAAAAAGTACTAGATATGGTATTTGAATAAATGAACTATTATTCTGAAAACATGAAAGCTTTCCTTTAAATGATATGCATTATGGAAAGTTGGAGGGGGGACGTTTACTTTGAGCTATTGTGGAGGTCACATTTCATTAAGAAATGTAAGACTCCTTGATTGGCTGTCAGAAATGATAAATGGTAAATCTTTATGATTTTATTACTGTACAGCAAGCCGACCTAATAAAGCTAAACTGGCTCTCCAACATTCTTTGTAATGTAAAATTACACCATAACCCGCCAGTGCTTCTATAATTAAGGTTGTGTCAGCATTTTTATTTAAAAATATCTTTTCAGGAGATGGACATTAACATATTTTAGGTGAATAAAAACTTGTTTCCTAGTAAAGTATTTGCTACAACTGTTTTTTTTCTCTTGGAGAAAAAATAATCTTTAAAGCTCAGCATGGGGATATTTAGTTAAAGCATTTTCAGAGATAAATCTCATTTGAATGGGGTTTAAGAATCACCTTGACCTTAAAAATACATTATATACCACATGTGGGAAATGGTGGGAAACATAACCAAAGCTTTGGAGTTCTGGAATAATATGTGTTTTTAAGTAGGGAACATAAATTTTGATTGGGTTTTCAAAATAGTTTTCATTTTACAGTAGGTTATAACTGGAAACATATAGCTTTTATTTTTTTCTCTTTAATGAAAAATCATTTGAATTGCCAGCTTTTTAATGAATTAGGTAACACCAATCTTAAAGTCCTTTTTTTTTTTCCCTCTCTCACTAAAATGTAGCTCTGTGTATGATACAACACAACATGATCATTTCCTTGGAATATGACTTAACAAAATAAAGAAATTCTCAAAGTATGAAGATATAACATAAATTTTATTTCCTTGGTACTCTTCGGTTGAGCCTAATTTGACCAAATTAATACCAAATATAGTTCACTCAGACTATATTTGATGAAATTAGCTCCTCAATACCTTTAGCTGATTTGTAAAAACAAACTGAACAAGCTCTTAATCCTTGAGAAAATAAAGCCACCAAGACTGTAGAAATATCCATCATCCACGTTTTTGATAGTATGCCTTATTTTCCTACAGAAATCCATTAGCGTTTGTCTTGCTAATCAGGTTTTTAAAGTTTTATGTTCTCTCATTTCAAATTTGTACACACCTAACTGGATTATTGTAACGTGCTTGGTTTAGATGAAAATATTTAGAGAACAGCGAGGTGGAGTGTGCTAAGCGGTTTCCAAAGGATGCCACTCTGACTTCCAAACAAACTGAACCGGAGGTCACCCAGCTTTCCCAAAATGTAGCAATGTGGCATTATGTTTGGTGGCACGCCGTCTAAGTTTTGATGCAAGACAGTCTGTTCCATATCTACACAGGCTCAAGGAGAATGTAAAATAGTTATCTAACTTGAAATTCCCTTGCTTTGGTGTTTCATTATTCTATATTATCATTGCTACTTAAAAATTCCACTTTTATGGTCCAATTATCTTTCTGGACTGAGTTCCATGTTTTAATATCCATTACTGTTATTGGGTTAGAATTGAGCACATCAGCTAAAAAGGACTAAAATGGTATTACTGTGTCATAGATGATTCTGGAAATGATGCTTTGATTTATAGTTTTGGATGTCCTTTTCTTTAGTTTGAGAAAACATAAAAGCCAATTTGAAGTCATTTACCTAATTTAGTGGATACATTTGTCTGATATTTTATTAATGGAAAAGTGCTATTTGCCACTTGGAATGGATCCATGCTCTGGTATGGATCACTGCCAACATAGAGAGGGGGCTCACTTAATTCCTTCACTCCTAGCCATTTATGTCTTTTCATTTCAGTTCCTGCTCTTTGAGGATAGGGTCCCAAGAGCCCAAAGCAGCTAATCCCTTTTTCTGCTATTAAACAAAAAGAAAGAAATCAGAATAGGGACATGAAAGAAGTGTTTTATATTGAATTATTATTCTATCTTGTTCAGCAAAAAACGAAAGTGACCTTCTAAAAAGATTTTGCAAGCAGTTTTTATAGAAACTAACAACAGCAGGACTAACTCATATTGGGAGCCACAACTTTTATTTATATGGCCCCGCCCCCACCCCACCCCAATTGGCCACCAGTATGTGGGGACTGCAGAGCAATTTGCCTTGGACATACCTATTTCTTTTTACCGTTTTGAGTGAACATAAGAAAACTATTTTTATGGTCGTGTTCAAGCTTCTGTATATTTGCTTAACTTGGCAGTAAATGAAGAGTAAGTTGATTCTCATCATTTTTAGAAAAATAATTAGGTTGGGACTTACTAAGCTTTATCTACTTACATGTTAAGAAATAAAGTTACATATTATTATTAATACATTTTTTAATTCTTGGAATAACTATTTGGTTTTCTTGCCTTAAACGTCCCTTCTTCTTATGTAGTCGCCTCCATTCGAACAACCTATATTGCGACTGTCACCTCGCCTGGCTCTCTGACTGGTTGCGACAAAGGCCCCGGGTTGGTCTCTACACTCAGTGTATGGGTCCATCCCACCTGAGGGGCCATAATGTAGCTGAGGTTCAAAAACGAGAATTTGTCTGCAGTGGTAAGAGAGAAAGAACCTTTATGTTGTCATATTATTTTTTGCTTCTATGTAAGAGAGCTGTGGAGAACGCATGCTTTAAAAGTTTCAGTGTTTTGCTCACTAACATGTGCAATTGTGCACTAATCACTCCATGGAAATCCTCGGTTTCAGTGATATTGATAATATGTTCTAAGACATTTGTGAGTGATTGGCCATTACAGATTACTCGTACTTAATGTATGATGAAAGGTTTTTCAATTTTCACTCCTGGGGAAATATAGGAGATTCCTAGATTTAAATTCTGTTTGCTACTTATTTTGCTGTTATGTAATAATTTAGATCTACTTTTATGTTAACAAATGGAAATATGATTCATCTTGCTGGGAAATTCAGGAAAGTATCTCAACTGTAGTTGCAGAGTGACAAAGCACTTTCCGTGCATACTAGTGGTTCACCTCTACAGGAAAGAGATAAATGAGCAGCTTTAGTGATGAAAATCTGAAAACGAAAATTAGGCGTGACCTATGTAAAATATCAAGTAACATTTACTTAGTTCTTTCTATATGTTTGATCACCAGCCTAAGTATTTCACATATACTTCGCTCATTTCACCTGCCTTAGAACAACTGTAGTGAGATATAATATTATATCTATATTAGAGATTAAACTGTTGAGGAAAAAGATGCTAAGTAGCCTTGTCCAAGGTCATATAGTTGAATCCATGGATCTCAAGCTTAGGCAGTCTGATTGCCAATTCATATATATTTATATTTATGTTTATACTTATTTATAAAATATTACGTTAATATTACCTGATCCATATTAGCATAATTTATCATATATGTATGTGTGTGTGTGTGTGTATATATATATATATAGTTCTGCTTCAGAAGTGTCTGTTCAAGATACAGTCACACAAAATGTTTAAATATATGTAACACATCACAAATAGTTCCTTAGAGGATTGAAGACATATGAGTACAGAATTCTCATTTATCGTTATCTTTTAGACCCTTTTGTGTACTTCTCCACACTTTTATAACCCAAACAAAATTTTCTTATAATGACATGGAATGTTCTCCTTAGGTCTGATTGCTTTTTAAGAAAATTAAATAATGAAATGACTAACAAACTGTTACTAACCACTTTTTTTCTCTCTTCACTTTTCCCTTCCTGTTTTCTAGATGAGGAAGAAGGCAAGTTCATGTTTCTTTTTTAGACTGAGACTATTTTTGTAACGTTTGAGAGCTTGTTAAGAGGGCTTGGGTTAGTGACTGGCCTGCAGCCCCTTCCTGGCATTCTGATCGCTCAGGCCCTCTCCCTGCAGATCAGAGAGGGTTTGTCCTGCTCCAGTAAACTGAGTGTGTGCAGATTCCCATTCAGTACAGCATGGCCGCCATTCTGTCGTTCATCATTCCAACAGTGAAATCTCATTTCAAAACAGTTTTGTTTCCAAATACTGAGTAGTAAAAATACATACACACAGGTAACTACTTAATGCTAAAATCGCAGGCTATGGAAGCCAAAAATAGAACTACCTAGCTTAACAATTACAGAATGGCTTGTTACAAACTATTATAACTTCAGAGAAAAGGCAGATTTTGAACCTACCAAGATTTGAAGCTTAGCAAGATCTAATTTCCCCCACATTTATTGATACACAATTACTTATTTAGAATCAACAGTTATGTCTGTTCTCCTTTCTTTTTTTAAAGTACAGTACATTATGCTACATACATTTAGTAAAGACCAAATTCTCTTGAAGCTTATTAGAAATGAAATATAGGTTAGTCTGACACTGCTGCTTTTTTTGGAACTCAGAATCGTTTTGAATCAAATTCTAGTTTCCGGTCTGAGTTTAGCCTTTCTTAACAATTATTTCAAGTGGGAAAATTATCATTTTCATAATTAGTTTTAAGAATCTCATTTGCTTCATCTGAGTGTTGACCCAGAACTATAAATGCATGCTTCCTAAAATATATCTTAGAAATATAGGCCCATTTTATGCTCAGATATTTAGAGAAATACGTTTCTGTTAAATAACATGTTTTGTTGTTTGAGATGAACTCATAAATTTCACAATGATGAATTTCAGGAGGGAAACTGTTATTGTTGTTTGTTTCTTTTTCAGGTCACCAGTCATTTATGGCTCCTTCTTGCAGTGTTTTGCACTGTCCAGCTGCTTGTACCTGTAGCAACAATATCGTAGACTGTCGTGGGAAAGGTCTCACTGAGATCCCCACGAATCTGCCAGAGACCATCACAGAAATGTATGTGCCCTGAAATTCCCTCTCATCTCTCCACCTCCACAGTGACCCAAACCATGACTTTCTTTAGAGACTCTGGGTTTATCGAAGACAAATATGCATCAACTAACTTAGACAGATATTCCTTGCAGAATTGTACTGAGCCTTACTCTGTTGAAGAAATTACCTTGTTGAAGAGGTTAGGATTTTTCTTTCTTTCTTTTTTTTTTTTTTAACATAGGTAGAATTAAAAAGAATGCACTTTCAGAATAAATAGTTCTTTCCCTTTTCACTGGGAAGGTGTTAGTAGGCTATTTAGGAAAAAATAAGAGTGGTTGTACATAGTCTGACCATTTGGACCTGGAGATCTGCTCCTGTCCAGGTTCTAAAAGAAGGACCAAACTGGGGTAATAAATCATAGGAACGACAGAACTAGATGATGTTCTGCCTCTTTAAGAGCTCACTTTTATAAAGCAGTGTCGCTGTTTTGACTATTGTATGGTCTACCATAAAATATAAAAAAGATATAATTATAAAGTCAAAATATATAAGATTTTTAAATTAGTGAGCATTTTAACCTATTTGAACCAATGGCTGTCTCTATCAAAAGTTAAATTGTCTTGGCAAAGAATTTCATATCTATTTTGTATGCAGCTGCTGGGTGCATTGTCCTTGCCAGATAGAAGTCATGTGGATAAAACAAGGTCATGTAAGATGTCAAATGAACTGTTTTTCTCACCTTGAGAAGAAAGCATTAGGGAAAATCTTTACCTCAATATCCATTAACTAAGACAGCACCTCATAGCCACTCAGCTCATCCTATTATTTTAGAGTTCAGTTCCAAAGTTTAAATAAATAGTTTTGAGTGTTTTGAATTGAAATGGTAAAGTAAGATTTAAGTCTACATAGTAGGCACAAAAATTAAGTTATTTTCAAAAACTATGCATTTTTTGCCAGTTAACTGCTCTAATTTACTTTACATGTGAATAACGTTAATTCACAAGACCCACTAACATTATTTAAAATATCTAATATGTACTTAAAAGTATTCTTAGAGCTTTGCAGTGTAAGACATGATCATCTGTGAAGACGCTAGAATCTGTGGAGGTTTGGCAAAGACATGAAATAATGTATGCACATAATATTATAGTCATCGAAATTTTAGTCAATGGAAGCTACTTTGCTCATGGAAGACATTTATGAGAATTTTTTAGCTGAACCTTGAAAAAAGCATAATATATCGTTTTGGAAGAGGTGGGTGACATTGCACAAAAGAGAAATGTCAGGGATGAAGGACAGAGGTGGTGGTGAGCATTATGTTTTAGAGATTGTACAGTCAATCCTAATTAGAGTAATAGGTGCGTGTTGAGGCATCATGCAAAATAATGCCTCAGAAAAGACATCTACGTATAATTTTAAAGCCACAGATTAATGAAGGATTTTATCTTAATCAGGAGAGGTAATATAAGAGGAACTAGATAATAGACATAGTAAGTTTTCAAATAGGGAAATAATATATTTATCTATCCAGGCAACAGCATTTATTAGGTAAACACTTATTGTTATAAAAGGCAGCACGAATTTTCCAGAGATCTTCCATCAAGTGACTAGCAAATTGGACACAAATTGAAAGCTATGACATGAGGTACAAATTAATACACGTTGTAAGAGGGGAACAAATGAAGTTCAAGGCATTTATGCAAAGGTGTAAAGTGGGGGTCAAGTTACAGTGGTTAATTAAAGGCAGAAAGCTTTAGTTAGAAGCACAAGTCCACCTACCATTCACTATCTGTGAGACTGTAGGCAAGTTATTTATCCTCTGCAAGCCTGTCTCCTCACCTGAACATAAGGGTTGTTGTTCATTTGAAGTGAAATAATACATATGCTTAGTATATAGTAGTAATTCAATAAGTGATACTTTGATCGTTGAAGTCTTATTATAAGAGGTAACATCCGAGATAGGCCTTGAAGAATTGGTATTGAATGGAAATGCAAAAATGAGGACAGGGCTTTCAAAATGACCAGAACATCATAAGCGTAGGCACTAACAATGGAAATGCAAGATGCAACCAAACAGGGGCTCAGTATGGCATTTGGATCCCGAGAGAATGCAGGAAAATAACATTGGAAAGGTAGACTGGAGCCAGTTCATAGAAGGCCTAGATAGTATAAGGACCTAAGTCTTTATTTGGAATGCATTTGAAAACAGGAGTTTTAATCTGAATCTCCAAGAATTAATCTTACAGCTGTGCGCCAGCAGTTGGCAAAAGACCCCATTGCCAGGCAAGAGGCCTCCTTAGGTGGCTATCATGTTGATGGAGGGGAGATGTCATAAAAGCAGGAGCTGTGTAGCTGTGGGGTAAAAGCAGGTAGGGTAGTTAATATAGGAGCAGAATTCATGGGATTGGGTATTTGGTGAGATGAGGGACTAATGGAGAAAAATGAGCCAAAGATGATGCCAGAATTAAGTGTGAGGGATGGGGAACTGGTGGTTTTATTATTGCATGTAAGAGGCTAAAGGACAGGACAAAAGTTGGGAAGAAAGATGACGGTGAACAAAATTTGTGAAATCCTGAAGCACCGATGGGACTTTTAGAGGTATCAAAATAATACAGACTGTGGTAACTTGGAGGAAGACAAGGACTTGAGGCAAAGATTTTGAAGTAATTAATAATACAAAATAAAAGTTGATGGTTAAATCCATGAAATGGCCAATAGAAAGGAGAACAAGAAAAGAGAAACCCAAGCGAACTCAGTAAAAGCAGCAGAGGGCCAGAATAGGTAAGAGAGGAAGGGGCTTCGTTTATCTGCGAAAAGGGTTTTTTGAAAAAAACGATCGTCACTATGAAGGACAGACCAGGATTGATTTGAAGATGCAGAAAGCTGCAATCATTAGGAAGTCAGAGACAATGCTGTTAGAGAGAAATGAGAGTGTGAGGTGGTAAGATCTCTGTGGGAGCACACAGGAGCCAGTGGATCAAGTCCTGATTATAGGAAGGACTGAAACACCGCCACGGATTGACAAAAGACCAGTGAGTTGTAGATAGACCAAAAGTAATGTGTGATATTTAAAGCGGTTTATCTCATGTAGGCTATTTTATTTTTTACAACAGAGTGTTTCTTCTATTTTGTATGCTGTATAGATTTTGTATTATTGTGGACTTTAGTACATAAAAGTTACACTAAATAATATGTCCCATTGGGTTTGCCTGTATTGAGGAGATGGTATATCAGATAAAGCTACAATAAATTAAATTTATAAGTAAAGATGAAAACATATGTGAAGCTCTAGGTGAATTTCACTTCTCTGATTATTACATTATCAGCTTTATCAGTAGAGCATCTGGTAATAAATCATATTGATCTTCAACTCCCAACAAAATACCCCATTACCATTCATTATAGTGGCGTAACATACTAGCTTAGTAACTCATTTCTTTTATTACTCTTTTATTTTTATTAGTATAAAGAACATCAGTATGATTCATAAAATGTGGAAGTAAAGCTGTACATATTTTTTTGTTTTTATAGATTCCAAGTTTTTAATTCAAGATGAACTGAAAATTATAACTTCCCTTCATATTTTTCAAATAATTTTTAATCTGGATTTTGCCATAAATTATAAGTAGAATTTCTTTACTGCAAGTTGTCAGGCATTTCATTCAATGCTGTTGAGTTGATTTCCTTCTGTGTGTGCTATGTCTTTATTCCTGCACCTGTCTCGTCATAGAATTCTAACAAAAAGAAAGTATGTAAGTGCTACATCAAGGAATGATCTACTGCCTGTTATTCTAGGTAGAAAAACTTGACTCAACTTTTCTTTCTTCTGCATTGTGCTTACAACTATAATTTCACACTTCTGGTATTTGCTCAGGCAATTATTTGTTAAGAGAGATGGGAAACATTCTTTTAAAGTTAGAATTGGAATAATTCGTAGGAGGAGGAGTGGAAAGAGACCAACATCTATCTAACAGTGTTGGATGCTGCACGCACATTATATCATGTGATTTTTCTCATTGACTTTTGATAGGGGTGTTTATGGAATCTTAAAATAGGAAAACTAATGCAGGAACATATGCTAGATGAATGTTGGTGGATTTTTCCAAGAAGCCTCATCATCCTGATGATTTTATATGGTCCAGGATCTGTCATCTCATTTGTTGAGAATCTTATTCTGCATATACATTGATAGATTAGATAGATAGATAGATAGATGATAGATAGATAGATAGATAGATAGATAGATAGATAGATAGATAATAGATACAGAGATAATGTGTGTATAGTTATTATATTTTGTTTATATATGTATATTTGCATGTTTATTTAAACCTGTCTACCCTACTGAAGTAGAAACTGAAGTCAGAGTCAGGAACTAGTTCTGTTCTGATCACCACTGAATACCCAGGTACAAATCTAGAATGTGGCATATAATAGGCACTTGATAAATAGCAAATAAATACTTACAGAATAAATGGATAATTTAAGCATTTACAGTGCAATTATCTCTAAAATAAGCTATGCTGAACAAGATTAAAAATAAAACCTGAAGAAGCAGCCCATTATTTCCCTGTAGAAAAAAAAATGGTGCTTTTAAGTATACAGTAAGTGAAAGTTAATGAATAGGATATCTAATGGCAAGAGCTAAAATGGGGCTATAAATACTTAAAATTCATTTGTTAAATTTCTCTATTCCCCATACTGGCTTGGACTCCACTCTCTACATGTGTCTGGGAGCTCCTTTTTTTTCTCTGTTCTAGGCCAACCCATTCAGTACCTACTAGTAGCCTCCTTCTTTAGATACATTAATTCAGTCACTCTGTAGTTAAGTCTTAGACATCTTTCTCCAAGGCCATATTTTTCCAGTAATGAACCTTATAGACATTTACCTCAAATCCTTCAAAACTGACAACTTCACTTTGCTGTTTGTTTTGTTTTGTGAATAAGGCCCACAATGTTAAGAGATTGTGTTTAAAAGTGTTTTCAGTTGTGAAGCAGCTATGCTGGCCTCAGTCTGAGACTTA